AAAGGGAAGGGGTGTCCCAACTCTATGACTGGCTCTGCATTATGTATAGTAAAGGGAAGGGGTGTCCCTACTCTATGACTGGCTCTGCATTATGTATAGTAAAGGGAAGGGGTGTCCCTACTCTATGACTCACTCTGCATTGTTTGTGGTCTATCTGACAGCATGGCTTTACAATAAGTGAAGGAAAGTTGCTCATTAAGTCTGGAGCGCTTCGCCTGCTTACCACAAAGGGTCAATGGAGAATATTCATATGTACCATTTTGAATATATCCGATTACAACCCAATATGTCTTAGAATAACATTCTATATGAAAAGCCAATACGTATTCCCTTCTAATGAGAATGCTATTGCATCATACAATACATCGTATAAAACACCAGTACCTACCTGATTAGCAGCTCCATCTCCATATAAAGACAAACAGATTTCATTGTTTCCAAAATATTTACAGGCCAACGCTATTCCTGCTCCAAGAGGGACCTGAAAAGTAAACATGAGCTGACTTATACTATAAAAAAATAAACAGGGGGTATGTACTATAATCTTAGGAATTTACAAAAATACATGCACTGTAGTTCTCCAACGATGGTGATTCAAGATGTCTGCCTCAAGCCTTTGGCCAATCATGAGGGAAAGTCTAGCAGTGCTGCCATTACTAATGAGCAATAATAAGAAACATACCTGAGCTCCCACAATGCCGTTCCCTCCATAGAAGTTCTTGGCATACATGTGCATTGAACCGCCTTTTCCCTTGGCACAACCCCCTCTTCTTCCTGTCACAGGAAAGAGAGCAGAGAGATGACCTCATCAGTTTACTGTTGCTCTTTTACTGGAAGGTCAGCAGGTAGGAGGTGAAAAGAGGACACCACTGTATTCCTTGACCTGTCTGCAGTGCGTGAGCAGGCTGTATAAATCTCAAGACTGGATGGAAATAAATACAAATGCTTTGGTAGGCTAAACAGAATGAATATTATATCTGTGCATTTGGCTATTTGCCGGGAGTTCAGCTTTAGGTACACTGTGTAAATCAAATGGTATAAAATCCAATGAAACCCATATTCATCACAGGATGTATACAAATACAGAAGACCTCCGTAAAGCAGTGAAGCTGTTGACATCTATATACCAGTAAGGCTCTTCTATACATACCTGTGAGCTCGGCCAGGATTTCTTTCACAGACACCCCGCGAGTATAGGTATATCCGTGAGCGCGATAGGCTGTGATTAAGTGATCTGAGAGATTAATGGACGCCTCCAGGCCAACACAACACGCTTCCTGGAGAGAGAAGATTTGTATGCTCACAAAAGAAGAATATCCTTAAAGTGTATTTTGACTTTTTGCACCAAATTAGGATAACACTTACTTTGTCTGTAATCTGTTCACATTCAGCTCGCTCCCGTGATGGACTACAATCGCAATTTACATTAATAAAATAATAATAATGGAGATTGTAGTCCATCACAGGAGTGAGCTTGGAGTGGTGGCTACTTTACAACACACGCAGGGACCATGGAGAACAGAAGTAGCCACCCTCCATAAGGAAGGACAGTGTCAGCACTAATTCAGAGATGATTTGAGGATATACAGCCGAGTGATACACAAATAAGATACATTGTTGTTAATAGTAAATTACATTAAACCCTCAGATTTTTTAACATAAACCAATACTGTAATGTACGCCTTACTGTAAGCCATGGTAGTTTCCCTTCTCTTTGCTGCTCTTCCTTTTAAATCCTCATGTCTTCTCATGCTTGGGGAGAACTTCCCTTTGCAGCTGAGTGCCTCTTCCTGTAGTGCTGGCTCAGGTTGCAAACCTTCACACAGACACCGTGTATCCATTCCAGAGACAAGGCAGTCTGCTGCAAAGGGAAGTTCTCCCCAAGCATGAGATAAGATGCAGATGTAAAAGGAAGAGCAGCAAAGAGAAGGGAAACAACCATGGATTACAGTAAGGCACACATTACAGTATTGGTTTATGTTAAAAAATCTGAGGGTTTAATGTCACTTTAAGTTACTTGGATGTATTGTTAAGATTTAACTCCTGAGTTTAGTGTTTGGGGACATTAGTAACGTATCTCAATAAGAACTTTTCCTGAGATGTGAGAAGCACTGTTTCCTCTGAACGGACAAAAGGTCCTATCGCAGCATCTTTTACCTGACCGTCGTATAGATGACAGAATCCACGGATGATCTTTTGCTTGTACAGCTGATCTGATTTGAGCTCCATACGCCGGATGGTCTGCATGGTCCTGTAATACTGCAGGCCTTGCTCTCTAGTCAGAACGGATGTAGTCGGTGGAGCTTCGTCTAACCGGTGAACGTCACATTTCTAATAACAACAAAAATTAAAGGCAAGGAATATAAAACACGTATAGACAGAATGACGGCTTCAGTCGTGAAACTGAAAGCAGATGATTGCGGCACAAATAATCTTTTTTTTTTTTTGCTAAAGGGAAAACAATCTGATTAGTTAGTGTGGGCAAAACAAGGATTTCTTCTCTCAGACACTTTCCTATATAAAGCTTGATTGGAAAAAAAAACCCCCCACTATGGTTACACCTAGGGATGCACCGATACTTTTCCAGTTCCAATACTGATACTTGGCATTTTCACGAGAACTACCAGGGTTGCAGCGGTTGCAGCTGGGACCTGGTTCTGGCACTCCACCACTGTCCTGAAATCATTACTCTGTATTGTTTTAGAAAAACTGTCACATGACAATAAACAAAAATGTATCAGTACTCGTACTTGTAAGTACTCGGCAAGTACCAGTACTCGCAAAACTGGTATCTGTGCATCACTTTATTTATATTTATAAAAACAAAATCGTACATTAAAACAGAGATGTACAAATCCCAGGA